ACAAATATATTTTCAGGGGCTAATAATACTGCACTTTAGTTCAGCTTACTGCCAATGAAGTTTTTGAACCATCTGAGTTATTACAAAAAGAATTTGGATTGTCTAAAACTGCAGAAAGGCAATATCTTTGATTAAAGCTTCTTCTGATTTCACAATTTGGTCTGGACTTGTTGGCAACACTAAAACCCTTGAATTATTATAATTTTTGGAAAACATTTTTCACAATTTCAATAGTATTTCTATAGTATTTTTTTAGACAATTACAGTATATTATTATGCTGGGTATTTGTTATTTGTAAAAACTTTGCAATAAAGAGTTGGAATATTCTATATTAATAATCAATGGCTAAGAGTCTTAAAATATTAACCGTGTTTCTTATGATCATAAGGTGATTTTTTTCATGCTCATTGGACACATCAGAAAAGGTTTAGAAAAAGGTGGCTATCTGCTCCCTTTTGCTGAAGTACAAACTGATAGAAGGTTGTCCAACTGTTCTGCTTTGCTTTAATGTTCTTAAATTTGTTACAAGGCATTGGAAAAAGTAATAAGATTTAAAGATATTAATGTGATGTGGCTTTTCATACCAAACATTTGGAACTTATCAACAGATGAAGACCATTTGGACTCATTGAACATTCATTGAACACTGAACATTGGATTCATTGAACAAGGTTACAGTATCTTGTTATAATGAAAGACAGCAGCACTCCAAATTTACAGTCCTGGATTGATAATTGCATTCACTCTTTGCCTTTGCACTAGTTTTTGCTTGACATAATGGAAAGACTGGCTGATATTCCTCGTGCTCAAGTTTTAATGTTGTGGTTTTCATATGTATTATAACATGCCTTTGTGTTTTTTTCCTATTTTTTTTTTGGTTTGGTGTCTTTTTTTTCTCTTTCTTTTGTATATTAAAATAATAAAAGTTAAAAAAAGGTCTGATCATACTTCTGGAAGAGCAATCCAGTATTTTTTCATGCTTCTTTCTTTCACTTGCTTTTTGGAGCACAGGATATGGTGGTAAAGCATCATCAGATGAAGACAGGCTCCACATTCTTTACTGACAATTACCTGAATTCACCTTGTTCTGATAGGGAAGCATGCTGACCTCCATACATAAGTTTCAAGATCTTTAGTTGGTGATACTTCTCCCCCAAGTTGCCCAAATACAGGTTACTCACATGGAAGTGATGTTACCTATTAGTAGGTGTGCTTCTGAAGAAAGTCCAATACTTATGTGAAATCCCATCTCCAAAAATAGTCACAGTCCTGGAGGAGCAGAATGGGATGGAGGAGGAGGGAGCTCTCTCAGTGCTTCTGCTTGGTGCCCTCTTTTATGTCTGTGACCTCAATCCAACTATTACTGAACACAACTCTAGCACTTTTTCAAAACAGCATTAGTCCCATCTTCAAGAGTAGCCTGGCTGACAGGTCACAGGTATGGAATGGAAGCAGATATGGGATGAAGCAAGAGACCCTTGATTGACAACAAATGAATGGCCTTTGTGATTGGTGCTGCAAGGGATTAGTAGTGCTCCAATGAGTGGCCACAGCTGGCAACACCTGGAAGTACCCCATGCAGTAGGCAAAACTGTGCCCCCCCATTAATAAATACAGTAGAAAGTCAAAATATACTGCATCCTGATCACATTATTCCTTGGAAGGTAGGCAAAAGCACTGGAAAAGCTGTAAAGGTAGACGGAATTGGCAAAACCCAGCTCTTTCTTGATTTAAACTGATCTTCTGTGCCACACTAGGACAGAACCCTCTCAAGTGAGTGTTTTTTAAATGCAGGTATTTCAAAAGAGTGCAAATATGTGAATGTAAGGAACCAGGAATGGTAGTTGATTGTTGTTGGGTATAATAAGAGAACTCTGAAAGCCTGTCCAAGTTCTTTTTTGTCCCCTTATACTAAACAAAATCAAGGTGGGGCTGCTTTGAATTTCTTTCTCATGCCTGCTTCAATCTCTGGACCACTGTTTCGCAACCTTGGCGACGTGAAGATGTGTGCCCCTCATGGGTGAAGCATCCTAGATTCTGTCCATGACAAAAACGGTGTTGCGAGAAGAAGGAAAACGCTAACACTGGCAACATCACAAGGATGTGACATTGGAAAATGGGCGACCGTGTCCCCGTGTGCCCTGGTGGGAGGATGAGTCAAAGAATTTGATTTTTATGACTTTGTGCCGAATAAAGGTTTACCAACTCTGCAATATTTTCCAATCTTTTTTAAAAAAATGAACTAACACCTTTGCATTTTACTTTAGACTGTAATCAATACTAAAAAGGGAGGAGGGATAATGAGCTTTGTTTATACCTGCTGAAAAGGTCAGAAGTCATTTATTTTTTCTGATTTTTGATTCCTTCCTTCCTTCCTTCCTTCCTTCCTTCCTTCCTTCCTTCCTTCCTTCCTTCCTTATTACTTTTTCGTGAGATTTGTCTTTTACTTATGGAAAAACTCTTAATAAAATTATGTACTTTAAAGTGACCATAATCAACTAGGTCAGCTCCTCTTCGTCCACTCCTCCGCACAACACACTCTTCCTGTAGCTATTCTGGAAATAAAAGCTGAAATCTTCGAGCGCAGTGAACCCATCTATAAACACACGCAGGCGGGTTAAACCCTGCTCCCCCAGCCGAACGGCCGCCCGGAGCCGCGGTCAGGCGACCCTAAGCCGGGCATCCCAGCCAGGTTAACGCTCAGGTCGCTGCACGCCCCAAGGCAGCTCTTCGCCACCGCGCCTCTGCCGCCGACGTCCCGCAGACAGTTGGCGCCGCCGCGTCGCTGCGCTTCGCGCTGCCCGGCTTCGCCCAGCGCTCGGACGACCCCAGGGGCGCCCATCCTGCGCGGAGGGAGGGGCCGCTGCTGGAACGCGGCGAACCGGGCAACCGTTACGCAGGGCGATGGGGCGAGGCGGAGCCAAGCTAGGACCACGCAGCTGCCTCTCCCGCCTGCACCGGCAACGCTCGCCGGGGACCCGTGTTCCGCCCCCCCCGCCCCCTGGGGCCTGGGGGGGGGCCCCCCCCC